CAGCGGGCGGCAACTTAAGAAATTCTGCGTCACTGAAACTGAGGACTGTGAACCTCTCCTACTGGTCGTCAGTCAGCGTTCTTCGCAGTCGTTCTTTTAGATGTCACGCAACTTTCTCAAAGAGTACGGTTCTCGGTTCTCTGGACTTGTTCGGTGTTTTCTTCTATTGCAGGTCCCAAGAGGTGCAAGGTTATTTTAATTTGGATCATACAATGGCCAACATATTTTCTTTTCGTTTAATTTAGAATACTCTACATGACCAAGCCCAAATTTTATTATCAGATTTTGAAATTGATGCTATGTGCTTGGAACATTTTAACTCGGTCTTTACCGCGACATCTAAATACGGGGTGTGATTAACTTTTGGCGTCTTTAGATTCAACTCAGGAGTTTAACCGCGCAGTTATGAAACCAGGTTTTTACTGTTAATACTTCATAGTTACCTTATGAATCGAAATTGCATAGAAGCACCTTCAAACTGATTCAAAACGATCTTTTATTTATTATGCATTGTAAGTGGTTTGCATCTAGCCCTAGACCTCACGCAACACTGCCTTGCTGAACCTCAGCACTGACATTATCGGTGACTACAGTCAGACACTAGAATCATTAATAATGTAGGCTCTAGAGTTTAGATGTGAAATTTTTGGTGATCATCTTCAGACGGTGACTACGCTGGGGTTCCATGCCAAGGAAGCAGAAGACTTGGAACATCAGGCATCATTTAATCGCTCCGAATTCCCCTGAAAGTGGTGCTAAAGCAGCCATAAATCTGAAATACAAGTGAGAAGTCATTAATTTCTGTGCAATGTGTCATACTTTTTTGTTCTTTGAAAAATTAAGCAGAGGGCCAGGCATTTCAATTCGGGGATGTATTCTGAGTGGTAAAAAATCATTCACTGTTTGCTACAATGTTAGCTACTTCAGAAAGAAAATCATTTTTGTGATTCGTTTCGATTTCCAAACAAAGGAAATAAACTCAAATTTCACACCATAATTCTTCTCAATCAACCGTAAAGGAAAAGTTATTGTTAAGCTACAACCCATAAAAATGATTCATGTCTTATGTCTTATGTCTTCAAAAGGCGCATGAAGACTGACTAAAAAGCAACAGTGACAGTAAATCTTAAACGTCTTTCGGCTAAAATCACTGGGTGTGTACTGAGTGTTCAAGGTCCCACATGCTTTATCCTCGTCACCAGTTACCCGTTCTTTTACGCTCGTTTCTCAGAGAAGCCGCAAAAAGGCTGAGGAAAACTGGATGGAACATTAGATTACCCCACAGAAACTGCTAATTTTAAAGCTCGAGAATAATGTTCCACTGAGAGTGCAATCTATGATGTCGATAGGTTTCGAAAGGCAATATTTGCTCTTTATGGATTTCTCTACAAATCGTACGGTACCACCCTAATCAAAAGAAAATCATAGAAAAATAAAAATCTACACCAATAGAGAGGCTGTAAAACGAAAAGAGTCACACCAATGCTGATTAAATTTCATCGTGTCTCGGGAAACGTGGCCTCAAAGCTTGTATTTGATTAACGTATTTACTGCCATTGTCATCTTTTTCAGACTTCAAAAGCGACGCATAGCGCGCGAATTGTCAGCTGACAAGTTAGTATTGCGGGCATCAGTGAGGCGCGTGTATATATTTACATATTCCGACCGAAAAAAAAAAATTTGAGCAAAATAAAGACGTTCTTCACTGACTCTCAGCCTGGGTGTGTTCTTGGGCATATACAGGAGTCTGGGCACTGTCGCCAGGCACCTAGGTGAAACACAGAAACAAAACGTGTATAATAAATACAAGATTTATTAACCGATTTGTGAACGAGGGCAATAACAAAAATATAACCTTATCATTTCTCTTAAAAGGGTGAAAGACCCTGGGGTACTAATCAAAGTTTCATACGGCGATGATAAGCCCTGGGTCCAGATTAGGCTTGAGTCGATTGTGCCAGCATAATTTTTAGCATAATTTTTAACTTTTTTCAAAGAAAGCACTGCCGGCATAATCTGCATTTTTACTTAATTTTAAGTCTGCATCCTTACTATGACTTAAGAAGCTCCATTGATTGAAAAATGATGAGCAGCATGTTTATCGATTCTGAGGAACAAATGCAGGGGAAACGTGCAACGATACAATGTTTGATAATTGGTTTATTAAAATAATGGGCTGCAGTTACCAGATAAGTAATCAGTTGCTGTTTGTTTTATGTTTACCCCGGTGCTCTGCCTTTATTTTGCTTAAAAAACAAGTAGCATAATTTTGATGCCAGGAGCATAATTTCGTAAATTTTGAGCAGTGCTAGGAGCATAATATGCCAGTTTTACGAGCACAATCGACTCTAGCCAAGTCCAGATTCTAAGTCTTAAGTCTTTCATGAAAATGCTGAGGAGTTCAACAACTACTGCAATATCTACCTGGTTAAAAGGATGTGTGAAAGATGATAATAGCTAACAAACTATGAACGCTCCACCGACACCTCGCCAAGGTTCCATCGACACGTTATCAACAATACACAAACGTAGATCTTTAAGCATAATTATGCATTAAAACAAGAGATTATCATCTCCTGTATTCAGTGATTATACACCTCAGTGTCAGTGAAAGTTTTGGATCTTTACCTCCCCCTCGGTGATGAATAACTGTTAATTTTTCGAAATCAGTGAAATCTTCCCTTATGATGAAAACATAAACATACCATTATCGTGGGTAGAGACAGCTCAATTTCTTCATATTCATCTCGGACAGATTCTTCTGTATCTTGATTGCGTAATCAGACAGTGTAGTTGGACAGTTAAAGGGGCAGTTAACACATCATGCCTATGTTAATGGACAGAACGCTTCATGTGCGTGCGCTGTTGCCTCGCATTTCGCCGAGTTAACTGCCTTTTTATGAAAACGTATATTTTATGTCTAGTTTCTTTTATTTTTTGTCATAGTTTTGATTAATCGGTTAGGACTTAAAATTCTGTCTGCAATCATAGTCGTGATTAACAAATCAGACTCCCCCTTCGTGGTCGTTCGATTTTGTTAATGACTCGAATGATTACAGACCGAATTGGACTCCACTCGGTCTTATTACCATTATTAATGAGGGAGATAATGTGGTCGTGTGGATTCAATAGCATGATTTTATTTTAGACAAGCGCAGTTCATCGGAGAGTCTCGAAAGCAAAGCTAAAGCAATCACAATGGCTCACCAGAAGAAAGTAAGATCGGTAAACTGTCCAAATTGACTGGATTGATTTGTGCAGGGCCCATTTTGTGTTTGAATAATGAAGATAGTGAAGGGAAACAAAACGACGTAATCCTGGATTAGTTTAGACACTTGATTGAAAGTACCCTTGCAAGTTAGAGATCATTTTATATCTTCAAGGTAATTTTGTCTACATAATTGTATTCTGAAATAGATTGAACATCCGAATTGAACGAAATTTTTCTCTTGCCATCCATTTATTTTGAAAAGGAATTGACAGGTTGTGATACATATATTACCTTTTTTCTGGCGTCTCTTCCGTCGGAATGACCAAGCAATACCGAGGATTACTACAATGACGAAGAGCACTGTCAGAGATGAGATCAACATCACCCAATCAGGTCCCTCGGCCGATGGAGCAACGGTGGCTAAAAAAAGAAAGAATGACTCATTAATAGAGCTCGCTACACAAACGATGACTTGCTCTATGTGGCTGCACCAACATTTTACAACTGAATGAAAACAGATCGTTACTTTTTGTTAAATCTGTTCAATAACTTAAAATCCTTGCATCATCTAATTAACTGAACTAAATTTCATTTGATCAGCGGATGAAAATCAAGTAAAACAACGTTCCTCGCAGATGAGCTGCAATTTTACCAAGTACAGAAAATAATTTTTCAGGCTTCTTTTCTGTAATAGCAATAGTCGCTCTGTAGAAGATGATAGTAGCTTAGTTGGCTGTAGCACACGCCGACTGACTATTTGACCGACCGACCGACAGACAGACAGACTAACTGACTAACGGAAAGACCGTGTAACTAGATAACAGACTGGTTATTTGTTAATACGCCGGATGAACTGACCGATTGGTTGATTCAGTGTTTGATTCTTTTCTGATGAGGCACTACGTGCCATACAGTTGCAAATAAGCTGGTTGTTTTTCTATCTCTGACAAAGTCGGGTAGGTATGAGTATTTATTAATTTGTATGTTGTAAATAGCTTTTGGAAAGGTTTTTAGACAGTTGGAACACCGACATTGGGAATACAACAGAATTGGCACGATAATTATGAAGGTAAACAATAAAATCATTTTGGTATGTCTCACTTTCAGTTGATGTGGTGCTACTAAGAGTACTTGTGCTGTATTCCGTGGTACTACTTGTGTATCGAGAGTGTGTAGTACTTGAAACACAATAAACTGCTGGAGGTGACCTTCCTCCCAGTGGCTCTGTAATAATAAAAGATAGGCATTTCTTTATTTGACTAAATACATCTCAATGAAATAAAGATTGACCAACTCTGCAAGTCTAATAATTATCGAACCAATCACATAATCACACGCAGTATAGTATGATAGGACTGCTAAACGCGGTTCACTGCCGTGTTACCTTTATTAGACACCCCTTAAAGAATCATTTGAACTATAATTAAAGGATTATTTAGCCAAAGTATACGAATTGAAAACTGAATTAAATTTTTTCCAACCAATACAATGGAAATTGATCATTAACTGACTTCACATACTATATATTGTATTTCCACATCAAAAAATTAACAATTAAATTAATGAAAAAGAAAAAAAAAGTCATTAACATAAATTATTAAATATTGATTTACTTTTTCTGCTTGTGGCGTCAAACCACACTACCGAAGAAACCGTTTTTTTGAAAGTGGTCTCGACCAGACGGTGAGAGGAACAGATAACAAAGCTGCAAAGGCTCCCTCGGAAATTTAGGGGAAAAAACCCGTAAGGGTTGGCGAAATGCCATAGAACCAGGAATGATAATTTTCTTTTAGAGCTCTTTTAACTTACCTGAGTTGAAGATAACTTCGCTGATTAATATCCATTGTCCTCTGTAGGTAAAGTTGAACCTTACAGACTTCCCTACACGGCGACACAGGTCGATTGTAACATTGCGGTTTATCGATGGTGATGATGATGGAATGGAAATTTCCTTGGGTTCTTGCATGAGATCAGGTGGAGAACCATTCGACATTGTTTTATCAAACCTTATTTCAACTCTGGAAAACAACTCGATGTGTGTCTGGTCTTTGACGTTACAATGGAAAGTAGCTGAAATGAAGATTCTTTTGTTCAAAAAATCAAATATTATGTAAGGTTTGGGGGTCTCTATCATGTTCCAGCCAATCCAACCCAATCCGTTATTTACTGTAAGATCTTCATTGGCCAATCGTCCATCAGTAAGCATTCCCAATCCAAAGAATAGAAAGCGGCCTTCAGTCAAACCATCATAGCTTGAATCGGTGAAGTTGTATCTCCCGTCCAGAGAGTTACCTTGGAGCATCTTGTACGTGACAATCGCTAATTAAGTAATAAATAGAAATGTCATGTTAGGCTCTCATTTAACAATGACAGTAACTATTCGGGAATGATATTTCGTGATAAATTCGTGATAATTTGTTCCTAGTGAATAACATATATGGACATATTAAGGTTCATATAGCAACCAGGTGGACAATCAGACACGGTTTGATGCTAGTCTGGTTTAAAGATTTAATGGATGTAACTGAGAAGTTACAATTCATAGACCCAACGTTTCGACACTCCTGTCCGGTGCCCTCATCACCCCTGATGAGGGCACCAGACAGGAGTGTCGAAATGTGTAGTCTATGAATTGTAACTTCTCAGTTACATTCATTAAATCTTTAAACAGAGTAGCATCAAACCGTGTCTGATTGTCCATGACAACCATGAATAAATACAGTAAGACTGTAATTATAATAACCATGAATAAATACAGTAAGACTGTCCACCATACCACTAAAGCAGGTACAGTGGCCCGTTCTTTTTTGTTGTAGTTTTCCAAACCGACATTGGTGAGGAACATTCAAGGAGAGTTTTTAAAAAATTGTTTCATAACATTTTTTGTCTGATGAATCACGTTAATGCAAGAAAATTTCTGTTGAATATCAGATGGCTTTCCTCAAGCAATTGATTCTTGGTAGATACCTTTCCTCTATAGAATTTATGATATCATGTAACATAAATCTCATTAGTCAATTTCAAGTCTTATAAAGCGCTGTTGGATATTCTGTAGAAACGACATTGTATAAATTATTTATATCATTTTTATTCAATGGAAGTAAAAAGCTTACCGCCTTCAATGTGACAGCCAAGAAGCTCAAACCTGAGGCACACCTGTCTGCGAGGAAATATTTCAGGTATAATTCTTATTCCGTCTGTTACAAGTGGAGGTTTCAACTCCGACAGGCTATTTCCTTGAAAGAACTGAGACATATACAACAACAGTGCATGATGTTAGAAAATCCCCAACTATAAGCCATGAAACATTTTCGCTTGCTCACAAATAAATTTTTCTAAATACATCTCGAGACCTACGAGGTCTCAGTTACACCGGAAAATATCCGGTGATATTACACAAGTGACATTTACTATTTCTGAAACCTTACACCCGATTCGATAACAGTCGTTGTTTCATGATTTTCACGGTAGGTAGTAAAGTTGTTATGAAAGGATTCGCTCTAACGAAGGGTCAACGCTGGAAACGTCAGCCATAAAATCTCGTTACGGACGCCAATTCACATTATCAACTCATTTGATTAAATAGAGAATAATACATTATAATTACTGACCCTCATAAAATCCTATTGTTCTCTCTCAGCATTATATCGGCGATTTCAGCCTGAGAAAGTATTCATATTGAAGGGGCGACTGAAATCGTCGATGTAATGCAGAGAGAGAACAGTAGGATTTTATGAGGGTCAATAATTATAATAGTTAATTACTGAGGTTCGCAGCATTATTGGGTATAATGCAGGCAGCTTCGGCCTGCGGCCTCAGCTGCCTGCATTATACCCAATAATGCTGCGAACCTCAGTAATTATCTATTAAATATTAACGTTCACGCGGCAACCAGGTGGACAATCAGACATGGTTTGATGCTACTCTGGTTTACAGATTTAATGAATGTAACCGAAGAAGTTACAATTCATAGACCCAACGTTTCGACACTCCTGTCTTGTGCATTCATCAGGGGTGATCTAAACGCTGCAACAAGAGGCCCTTTTATATGATCATTAATTAGCTGCCTTTTTTTTCTGACGAGGTGTAAATGTATTCGTCCGATGTATTCGTGTTGTCACAGTCATCGCAAGGAATAGAATAAATGGCGTCGATTCGACGGGATCCTTAAGTTTGGCGAAAATATGCCCCAAAGTGTCGAAAGGTCGAGTCTCTGAATTTTAACTTCTTCGGTTACATTCACTAAATCTGTAAACTAGAGTAGCATCAAACCATGTCAGAGAATAATTCATCGGCACGCGTAGATATGGTCTTTTCCCTCAAGTGTGCTGCTCGGGGAGGACCTTGTTATCGAGAGAGATTTCGACTGCATTATGTTCTTGAGATACAGGAGCATCATTTAACACTTGAAACGATTGGGTTGATATTTTGATAATACATTTCTGGCGTCTATGCTAAAGAGCTCTTTAAGTATGAAATAATATTTCAGTTAGCAAGTCCCAAACGTCAGGTAAGCGCGGGAACTTAATCTCGCCAAATTTCTGTACGAAGGTACGGCGGTATCCGAAAAAAAAGTGTTATCGTTCTTTCCTTAAGGTAAGGTCTTAACTGTGTGTTACTTCGCGAGAAAGAAATTCTACTCGCTGGCCTGACCAATTTGGCGTTAAGGTAAGGTTGTGTGCCTGATGATTTCTGTCTAGAGCTATACGATGACGCACGAGAAATCTCGCTGCTTGAAATGCCGCAGTGCGGCATTTCAAGCAGCTACTATGCAAATGAGCTTAAGCGGAGAAATGACTTACCCTAGGCTTGTGTGATCTTCCATCATACAACCAAGCATACTTTTCATTGTTTTCTTGATCTTGTCTGTACGAAACCAAGAACCTCCGAATCCCTTCCACACCTCGAGCGCGGGGCTGTGTTATTATGCCTTTAATTCGAAAGGGCCTGGGAAATTCGACTTGAATAAACTCCTTATGGATAGGACCTGTACCATTATAATACGGCTGCTGATCAGGGCACCACCCCCCATAGCCTCCTGTATGATTCAGTCTACCATGAATAGCACTAGCACTTGCATTCAAAGAAGACGTAGCACGAATATCTATATCCCTGATACCTCCATCTTCCATTCCCAAAGGAGAAAAACAATCTTTAAAAAAAAGTAAAATGAAAGACAAAAGAGTTACCAAAATACAATAGAGGAGGAGTTTGATACATGGAGAGAATACCTTATATATATACTTTCTTTTTAAACGTTTTTGTTGTTTTGGATTAATGATATTATCATGTGATTTGCCTAATATGAATGGCTTAATGGATTGCAAGAGGGCACCGGGAGTATTGTTTTTGTGGGAAAAGGCTGAATGGTATATTTCGGCGCTAATTTGATTTTTTCTTTTAGATATTTTGCAGTTAAATCTATAATACCTGAGTGGGAATTGTTGCATGCAAAAATTTGGATAGGCCGGCACGATTTTGCTTTGCTAGTGTAAAGGGTCATTAGTTTGATCAATAAAAAGCAAGTTTTTTCCATTCCTCAAGAATTTTAATTAAAATGAATTAAGGTGGCTTTGTCTGATTATTTCCTGTCGCCTGCTTGGGTTTTGGGTTTCTTTCGCGTCCAGATAAGACAATGTTAAGATAAGAATAAAATTAACATAATTATATCTATATATGTATGCAATGTGTTCTGCAACTCTATTCGAAAACTAACCAAGGGTAGCATTCGTGTGGTCGCTAATCAGAAAAGAAAGGAAAATACGGAGCGTTTGACTGATTGCCCTCTTTTTTTTCATCATTCCGGTTGTTCTTTTGTTTCTGAAACCACGTTAGTGAAAGACAAAATTCTTATTAACCCCACGAGCAGCCTTAAAATTAAGCATCTCTCTTTGTCTATTTCTACGTAGGGCCTTTGATCGTGTGCCCATTTACGGAAACATGCACGCGTTTGGTTGGTCTGCAGATTCTAGGCTGTTGTTTCCCACAAGCAAACTGACAAATTATTGAAGCACGCCGCGTGATATGTTAACATAAACCCCTTAGCCATTTTTAAGAATGGTAAGGAATAAGTGAAGCAACCGGAAAGTGTATACAAAAAGTTTGTGTTGTGATTTGAAACAATGATTGAAAGTTGCAATTTCCGCCGCTCCATTAGGAATTTTCATTTTCAGCTTTACATGTCGGGGAAAATCCCAGGCGATCGGTGATTTCCTGTTTCCTGACCCTCGCAGATTTGATATATTCATTTGAGACACTATTTTATCAGTGACTCACTCTCTGACACTGGAAAAGGCGAAGAAAACGATCATATTAAAAGGAAAATTTTGAATCACAAAAAAATGTCTTTAAGACCCTCGCCACTTCCTTTTTAGGCCTCAGGTATGGAAATTTTAGGTGGCTGTAATTTGACCTTGTCCGGCTCCTATTTGACTAAATTTGGATGTTTGTTGATGAAAGTGAGTGCAAGCCCTTTTTTGAAGTTTTGGATACCCTGGCCAGTTATCGTTACGTCGGAAATTGTTTCTCCGTGATTTAGTTATAAGAGTCGGTAAGTGCCAACAAGTAAAATTGAACAAAGTCAACGTTTACAGATTGATTTTCTCCGAATTGTGTGTTCGCCATCTTACGCGGTTGGAGGCCTAAGGCTATTACACGAAATCGCACCATCGCGTAATATGTTTTAAAAGTTCATTATATCGTTTGGCAGAAAAAGCAAAAAGAAGTAAAAAGGAATTTTTGAAGAAAAAGTAACAAAGTATGTTACCAAGCCATCGAATCGGCAACCCTCACCTTCCGAACAAACTTTACAGTTTCCGGCACGGTACACTTTGAAGTATTGTTTCTTTCTTACCCACTTATACACCCGTTGGCATAGAGCTCTACTTGCTATGTTAGTGAAACTGTACTTCTTTAAGCCTACGGTTTTAAGACATATCAAAGCAACTTGGAAAAGCCCGTGATTTGAAAGTTTTTCCCTCCGTTGCTTAAAGAAAGGTTGTAGTCTTTGTGGTCCTTTAATCAGTGTAGTAACTATTTGCAAATCTCCAATACTATGAGAGAAAACGAACCGAACAGAGGTCGATACATTTTGATCAGATCTATTATTTAATACGGTTCGGATATCGTTTGATCATGATCCAGGAGACTCAGAAGCAAATAATCAGGCGAAAGGAAAGAAATTGGCGGTTTCGGTTCGACGCGAAAGTTGACATGACCTGGACCACCGAGGATAGTTACCTTGAGGAATGCCTTGTCCGAAACACAGCACATTAAAACATCCAATGACGAGATGAATGCGAACCATTCTTGAACTGATCATTCTAAGGCGCTCTGAAACAACTATAAAACAAGTGATCAACAACGCGGGAAATATGCAGCTTCCACTTTTCCCAACCCCTTTTTCCGGTGACAGTTTGATATCTTTCATTCCGCCTCTGGAATTTAATGCCACATACACGAACGCGGGAAATATGCAGCTTCCACTTTGCCCAACCCCTCTTTCCGGTGACAGTTTGATATCTTTCATTCCGCCTCTAGAATTTAATGCCACATAAATTTAAAGTCAGTCAGATTCGCAGCGGTTCTAGAAAACCACGCTGTTACTTATAGCCGGCCACGATGTTTCTTGCTCTGTAACTTCATTTGGTTCAAGTTTTTCTATCTATCATCTTATCTAAAGCCACGAAGTTTATGGAATCGTGTCTCAACAACTGTGAACAGTGGTTCAAAGGGCAGCGGAGGGTGACACGTTGTGTAGAACATGTACTGGAATGTCTCTTTTGGTTTGAAGAGGGTTCTTTTATCGAGAACTAACTCCCAGTTGAATCTTTCACTCTTATAGGCAGTTGAGTCTAAGAAAGTGGCTCCTGAAACAGAATGATATTTAAGCTGTAAATTTGATTGTTGGGTGGTGTTTAATTGGTTAAGTTTGTTCAGTGAACTGGTTGACGACATCTCTGTAGGTGTGCAAGGGAGAGTCTAGCCACGTAGATGTTTGTAAAAGCTACAAACAAACCGAAGAACAATTTATATTTTTTAAGCCGACTAAATATGCCTCTAGCAAGTCTTTGCCTATCTCCATAATCATACAGGAGAGCACATTACCGATATTGTAAAGGCTTTAATTTGCTAATATTTCTAAATTTCGAGACCATTACGCGATGTCAATTTCACAATAAACCTTGCGCATGGAGAAAAGCTAATCGCTAGATTTTACTACATATTTTTTGGTTGTTGAAACAAAAACTTACGCTTCCCTTGTATCAACATCACCTAAATTCATTTCTGATAAATAGAGAATAATACATGGGCGCGCGTAGATATCGAATTTCTCTTCGAGTGTTTAACTCGATAGCGCACGAGTGAGCGCAGCGAACGAGAGAGATGTCGAGTTCAACACGAGAAGAGAAATTCCATATCTACAAGCAACCATGTATTATTTTGTTTATCATATAAACATAATAGCCCTTAACTGAGAAGAAAAGCCGACTACATTAATGAATGAAAATAAACGAATTGACAATCCCCGAATAACAATCGAACAGAGCGTTAACTCTAGCTCTTAAGATGGAAAAATGCGTTGAATCATGATTACAAAAACAACAATGATCGTAATTTTCAATTTACAAAATTCTCATTTATTGACTCTGTCCTTACCGACAGAAGAAGTCTTTCAGGTAAACGGCCAAAATCGGCCAGTGGCAAATCTTCCAGTTGTCGATTTTCATTCTCAGCCGCGAATGCCAACACCAAAGCCACTGAATACGTATCTTGCGGTTTTTCTTTTTGTATATTGGTTCTTTTTCCCCTTTTAGGAAAGTTTGAACCTCACTATCTTTCATCGATTCGGATTTTTTGAGTGTTTTAGCCGCCATAATCCGAGAAAGTTCCGACAAACTACTTTGTGCTGAGAATCGTGAGGGCTTCGCCGTTCATTCATCAACCTCAACGACTGGCGCCAAAGCGAGTAACGTATCAGCAGCTGATTGGCTATATCAACACACGTGAAAAAATACGATGTTTTTTCACGTGTGTTGTTACGGCTTTTCTCAGGGCCGGAAATCCCTGTATAACACCTTAGTTTTTGTGAGAAAAAGCAATAATCACTCTCCAAAAACGAAAGCTTTCACTTCTGAAAAACCGGACCCTAGGCTTCTTTACAGCAAATACAGGAGGCGACATCGTAACTTTAGACAGCGAGCCAAAGTTTCAAAGTGTCCAGCATCGTGCCACCCTCACCCCCGGAATAGACATGCCGGTAACTCATTCATCATTTAGCCATGTGCTGTATGAAACGGGTAAACAAGAATTCAAAAATAGATGAATGCCCAGGGATGTTTCCTCGAGCTGGAAAAACAAACTGGGTATGGGCGCATGATCTTTAAATATTGCAAAAAAAAAAACCAAAAAAAACCAAACAAACAAACAAACGCATAAAACGAACACAAAAGGGAAGTGAATGTATTTCAAAGAGAGAGTTTTGGCACTTTCTTGATTATAGGTTAGATTGAAGCTGTATTTTGCATATTTCACTTTTTCAATTACAACAAGATGTCTTCCCCTTCTCTTTCGTCAAACTTAAGAAAATTCAAAGTTAAATGCAAAAATTATAAAAAATTAGCAGAAAAATCAAATAGTTTCAAAACGATTAAGAGCGTAACAAGCTTAACTATATGTTAAATCGTATATTTGGGCCCGTTATTTAAACAAAGTTCAGCCGTTGGTTGACAAAACCGCAATCTAAACTACCTTTAATTTAGCTGATTCTTTTAGGTGAACATGTCTCTTCATAGGTAGTGTCAAGAGGGCCGAAAGCTAGCAGAAGAAATGCATTTATTTAATGAAAACAACCCTCTTCTAGAGAATATTTAAGGCCCACTGCTGACGAAAAAACGTGACCGCCGTTTGGCTTAGACCTCGTGTCATTCAATAACCGGCTCTTTAAGTTTAAAGAATAGTCTAAAATGATAACTTCGCACGGATTAAGTCACATTGTTTGTTTAGCAGTGGTTTCAGTTCTTTGACAAAAAGCATTTCAAAAATAAGACACTGAAGCTTGTTTTGGCAATTTCTTAGAATGTTCAAACTCCACGCGATGTCAGTTGTCCGGTTCCATGTCATGCTCCTTTATGAGATGGTCTCCGATCGCCGATTCCGTTTGTGATCTTCAATGCGTTGATTAAAGTGCTGTCATGTGTATCCGAAAATAAAGTGCATCATACAGATCACGCATGGAAAAAAAAAGAGCGGTTTCTCTTCCTTCAATCTGATCGCGTTCTTTATCTCAGTTTCGACTTGTCTTAACCGGGCTGATTTCTGTGTTCATCTTGCAATTGAGATCTACAAGTCGTCTTCTTTCCGAGTTTGCCGACTTCTCAATGTTCCTTGTACGGAAAACACGATTCTGGGAACTTCTTACTTCTCAGTCGCTTGAGCACGAGATGCATCTGATATCTTTACATCAATAAAATGATGGATGGTAGGTTGCACAAGTTTTTCCGTGTAGCGCAACCGAGAAAAGGTCTGGAAGTATTCAGAATTAATTGCTGTCGGGCACCGTACCGCCATAAGCCTATCTTAAATTTGTTTTTTTTGAGCACGAGATGCATCTGATATCTTTACATCAATAAAATGATGGATGGTAGATTGAACAAGTTTTTCCGTGTAGCGCAACCGAGAAAAGGTATGGAAATATTCGGAAATAATTGCTGACGGGCACCGTACCGCTATAAGCTTATCTTAAATATTTTTTACGGGCGCTGTTGAAAACAATGCCCAACTTTGCATTCAAAGTTTCACCCAGTTGCATACTTCCCCATTTTAGGGAAAACGTTTCCGCTGCTACCCCTTGTGGGTCAGTGATAGGTTGGTGGTACCTGTGTGATGCACATGATGCTGGCTCTGTCGAATACTCATGCCAAATTATTCAGGAACACAAAGGGTCGGTGATTGGAGACCAGCTCAGAAAACGACATGGCATGGAGCCGGGGAACATCAAGCGAAGTTTGAACATTTTAAGAAAGTGCGAGAACAACCTTGTCTGTCTTATTTTTGAAATGCTTTTGGAGTAACTGCAGAATACCCTGCCACTTTGGTCCACCTCATTTACATGTGGCGCGAGGCTCCAAGAACGAGACATAACACAATGGGTGCTATTCTTATTCAATGACATGTAAATGAGTGGCAGGGTATTCAGCAGTTTAGCCATGCTTTTTAACCACCGCTAAACAAACAGTGTAGCTCAAGCACCGCAAAATTATATTATACTATTTATATCTATTATTCTCGTACCTTATAAATATTTTGATTAGTTGTAATTATACAATTTTAACAAACCGTAATGCCTCTTACATTCTCATCTGTTTTTAATAGCATTATATTTACACGACAATTGTTCGTAAACATAACTTGTCATATTTTAATAGACCCTGATAAAGGAAATCGGAGAGGTCGAAACGTCATCCCTTTTCATCGCTAGTTTTTATTATGTTTAAGAATATGTCTTTTTCAACTAAAGAACTCGCTATACCCGAATATTTACATCGGAAACAGTGAAGGAAGCTGGTGGTTACAACTCTTCGGGCCGGTTATTCAGTTTCAACAAAGTTTAGCCAAGTTTTAACAAAGCCGCGTTCTAAACTATCTTGAATTATGCTGAATCTTTTATCTGAACATTCAGTTTGTGAACAGTGTCAAGAGGGCCGAAAGCTAGCAATGAAGGGCATTTATTTAATAAAAACAACCCTCCCACAAAGATTACGAAAGGCCCTCTGATTGCGGTTTGGGTCAGACCTCGTGTAAATAACCGGCTCCTTGTGTTTCTCTTTACATCTATAGCAGATTGAAACTAATACTACTACGTAAGCAACAACTGTTGTAAAAGCACAACTGAATTAAGTTAAGTCAACAAGAATGGCCTAATGTCACAATCTCTTTGTTTTCCGTAAGAACCCTCTGTCACACTTTAAGTTAAGGAACAGAGGAGGAGAAGAAAATTTAATTTAGGCCTTTTTCATATGGCCACCCTTGTGTAGCGTATGTGCAGCTGTTAAAATAATCCGTTGAGGGACAAATCAAAGAGGGTCATTGAAAAATAAGCAAAACTGTAGAGATAACAATTCTGACTTGTTACTTAATTCAGGTTTGAGTTAATCAAATCCCTGATATGATTGCTTCAATTAAAATAAACTCTGTCAGTGTCGTTGCTATTTTACTTCAACCATAATCTATTTTCTCTTTATCCGTTTGGTAAGTTTTGCATTTTTTACTCTATAATTCATAATAACCAAAGTCCCTACAACTACTTTTGTAATTAGATGATATAGCTTGACAAACCAACTCCATTGTCTCTATTGGAGATTTTAATTCGCCGATCAGGACTGTCGGCGAAATCGAAGGGACAGACAACGGCTGAGATAGCAGTCTTTGCCGATTGCCCCATCGGGTGTATGAAAACACCGATTACAGGTAGATAATGATAATAATCCGATAGGACATGTATGGTGTGCTTGTTTTTACTTTTCCTTAAGCATTAGCACAGGAAAAGTGGGTTAGAACCGAAAGGAAGTAAATGCAAGCACGAGAAAGAGAAATAGACAAAATAGAGCTGGCCCCGGTTGTTCGAAGGTCGGATAACGCTATCCGCAGGATAGATCTCGATCCGGTGGATGACACCATACGTTTTGCTATCACTTATCTGCTGGATGGCGATTTATCCGTCGGATAGCTTTATCCGCCCTTTATACAGCTGAGCCCAGTAAGTCTCTCTGCCCAGCTGACGCTTAATCTTAATCTTACTTTAGAGCTTCAACTTATCTGATGAGCGCAAAACAGGATTAAAATCGTCATAGGAACGTCACGAATTCTCATGGGTAACGGATTCTTCAGCCGGTGCACTTTGTTGCCATGGATACGACTGTCCTGGAGGTGGAAACTGTGGAATCTGTTCCTTACCAGGGTAGGGTGGTGGCGATTCTAACGGGTATGGGTAATCAGGGGGTGGTATATCTGCGTTTGTTGAAACAGGTTCAGACGGAGTACGGCGTGATACTATAGCCATTGGAAACCTCTCCGCTGCCTCTCTGTTTCGCCTTTTAATTCGTTCAGCAAAGCAAACGGAAAGGAATATCAGTGCAACAAACACTATGACAGTTACAATAATGGCTGTCATCCAAGCACGAGACTCTAAAGAGAAAAAGAGAAACAAAAGTCAAACAAGCAGAGTTATCTGAAGCAAGGGTCGTTTCCACGTGGCGTTGAAAAGATAGTCGTGTTGACGGTGCATGACACGTGCTACAACAGATTCAACCTCTAATTTTTAAAACAAAGGTAGACAACCTGAACTTGATACGGCCTTGAAGGTGGCTTTGAATCCTCTGTGTGGTTTTCTACCCGCATAATCTGTGGCAGAGTAGAACTCAACCAACATATAACGATTACGGTGACTTGAACGAACGTTTTCGGGAATTGTAGTTCCACAGTATGTTCCCAAAGATGTGTCAGACAATGGCATTCCATCTCCAACTTCCACATAATCTCTGCAACCAGGAGCCAACTGAAATCTCTCGAAGATGAGTTCAACGCTTTGTCCCTCGGGTACAGTGATGAGCCATTCACAAAATAAACCCGGTGGGTAGTAGGTCAACGGACTCTCTAGAATCCCTTCTGATCCGGTCAACCTCAAATCAAAGTTGTGGACGTTATCCGGGTAACATAACTCGCTGGAATTTACAGCTTTAGTTTTCGCTACGGAGTCAGAAAACAATCTTAAGTAAATTCCTTGAAGTGATCCCACGGGGGAAGGGGAAGGGGAAGGGGAATTGGCTTCGGAGAGATTCAGGTGGGGCTGTTCCACCGAGCCTATCAAAATCTGACGTGAAAAAGGTAACTGTTTATGGCTAGATGGCGGCTAAAAGACATCGGAAAGCCATGCTTGGCATAATGAGATACCATTTTTAGAACATGATTTAACAAGTCGTGAATGCCTTACGTGTGGATCATCACAAGTTCAAAACCAGTTGAAATTGTGTCAGTTATCGACCACTCTACCTGATTCTTGCGTCATCATTCAGAAATTACATATCATAAAAAATCACAACCAAATTCAAAATACTTTATTTTGATGGGGTAGTACATAACAGTTTCGTTTTATTTACTCTGTTTCACTCGTGCTAATAACCTCTAAGGTATTTTCAAACAACACCCTGTCAAATCAGTCGTGATGAAGAACGCTTTTCACGCTTGCCTTGAACTTGCCTTTTCTACCACCTAATTTCAAAATGTTTTGAGACAAAATATCTTTGACTGATTGGAAATGAGGGATGTTACGAATGAGCGGCAAGGTGTTTAAGGGGAGACACCGACTTCCCCGAAAACGAAGAAATAGGAATGCTTTCACTTACTTGTTGGTTCATGAAGCGCTGTAAATGTTGCTTTGAATCCCCTGAAAGATGATCTGATTGGACCAGACCTGAAAAGAACCATCATGTAACGACCGGTAGAGGAGGTGTTATTGGGGGTACCGGAACCGCACATTTTTCCTTCGCTCTCACCATCGATGTACTTCCCATCGACAACTTCTACATAATCTGCATCACATCCTCCTGAGATGCTATCTTGAACCATTTGAAAAGTGTCGAAGCTGAGTTTCACAAAGCACCCTTCTGGTACAGCTATGAGCCAATTACAGCTGGAGTGAGAGAGATACCCTTCCCCTCCCTCTGGGCTTTGAAGAGTTCCACTGTAACCAGATAATTTCAGGTTGTTGTTGTAAATGTTGCCCGGAAAACATCTTTCCTCGGAACTTCCGGCTGGGAAGAAAGATGCATCACACAAATTAACCTACCATTTTTCAGGGAAGTGTTTGGCAGGCTCTCTACAGAGTTTACACCCTTTTGAGCTTTAAAATACTTATATGAATACTACGGCCCGACTGGTGATACCAAAGGTGATAACGAAGTATCATTTTTTGATGAAGTGGTACAGCGTCGTCAGTGATTCAAGTTATTCACCACATATTTGATAAATTCAAAGTGAAAAGAGGAATACAAAGATACTCTGGAAACAGTCTTGGTCCAGGGCCATGGACTAAATTCAGTTACACAGGAAAACTTCGAGACAACCAAACTTAAATGTTTTTTTCCTACGGTATAATTTAACCGAAAGAGAGATTCTATACTCCTACAAACTCAGCTACTTTATTAAACAACGTGTAATGGATCTTACTAAGAAGGGACACCTGTGGGTATTACAACAGTTATCTTCTAAAAAACTTACTTGAGCCCATTATGGACTATATCTTAGTTTACCACTGACACACACTCACGGCTACCTCCAAATCTTCTTTAAATGAACAATCTTCCACAGTATCTCTCTCTCCCTCTATCTCTCTCGGTATAGCTTTCCAGACAGTCGGGCACTCCCAACAAGAACAACTACTCATATTAAACGACTGAGTCCATAGATACATTTACAAAGTATTCTAGGATATTTCCAAAGCTTACAAAACAACTGTTTTAGAAGTCTAACATCATAACTTCATAACCTAATATATTGTTCTCAAAAATTCCATAGTCTGACAGTAGAAAGTTCGTGTGTGCATGTCAGCGTGACTAGGCATTCCAGAAATTTCAAGAAACTTATTTTTTTTAGTCACTATCCATAACACCTTACCGTCGTAATTTGCAGTTTGAGCAAAAGTGTCTTTAGGAACAAAAAGTCTTGGAGATGTTATAATCAGTGGTACTTCAAGCCTTTTCCTCTTTCATTTTCCAATGATAACTATCTCTGAAATTACCTATTTAACCCCACAGTTGATGTGGAAGGCGCACCTAAGCACCAGGCAAGCGAGGATCAGCGATAAATCCCAATTTGCTCCTACTTTTTCACGACAAATTAAAAACATTGAACAAGCTAACGAACAAGCTTTACGCCTTAAAAATCATTGGTCTGTTGATAAATAAAATCATAATGTACTTACGTGGTTCCACAGCCTCAAAATGTGCTTTAAATCCAGTATGATACCAAGAGTTCAGAGTGGATTGAAACTTTATCCACATGTACCCCCCAGTCGAGTACGCCGCTGACTCACTACTAAATAAGTTGTATCCGTGGTAAACAGCTACCTCTTCACTCGACGACTCTCGCCCATCAAGTATTCGCACGTTGTCCTCCCCGGGAGCAAGATCAAATTTATCAAATGTTAGCTTCACTCTTTTGTTAGCAGGAACGGAAATCACCCAAATACAAATGACATTTTTCGAATAAGGAGTAGGATAGAACGGGGAGAAGAGGGTACCAGAGGAACCAGTGAGGTTACTACGCTCGGCATTCCCTTCTGACGATTGGCATACTCCAAAGGCTTCCTCTGCAATTGAATGCATCAATAAGAACGTTGAAGCTCGACCTCAGACATTCATTCGCAATCCTTGTCGATATTTACCAGCCTCACACATCCTTATTCCGGTATAATTAATTTTTAGGTCTTTGCTGCTCCCTTCCCCGCCGGGAAAAAAAATTGATAAAGAGCTGAGTGCTTCTATAATACGTTTCTCTTCTACGCCAAAATATGCGAGACATAAGAAAGTGACTCTTTTCACTAATCATGGTGTTGTGAATAATGCCATCAGACTTTCCCCTAAGCCTTACAGTACATTTTCAACACCTGTAAGGCTTCAATAGTCAAACCACGGAAAGACAAACTCCGCAAACTTACGCAAGAACTTAAACGATCCCATCTCCTCACCCCCTCCCCCCTCCCTAGGCCCCTTAGGCCAACTGAGTTTCAGAGTAAAGCCAAGAATGCCCAAATAACGTTACCTCTGACCACGGCTGAAAAGTTTAAACTAAAACTGCCTGCTTCCAAATACCATTTTTCTTCCACAGAAAAATCAACAAACATGTGGATGCCTGTGGAATAAATCACATCAGGATGGACCGTTCCGGAATATGATTCTCCAAGACGCGTTGATGCTGAATTGATACCATCATAAAAAGTGAGTCTATCAAAACCTTTTTGCAGATTGAAGTGATTAAAAGTAACTTTCAATACATATGCTCCACCGGTGGAAAGGTCATCCGGTACTTTGAGTATCCATCTGCACCTCCATGGCAACAAACTGGCAGGAGGCAAGAGAGGATAGCCTGGACTCGTCAGTGTCTTCTTATCTGATATAGAAGCAGCAAGTGCTTCACCGTAGTAAGGACAAACTAAAAAGTACAAATACAACGAATGGTTTGCACCCAAGAGTAACAATGTGAGAGAAGTCCTGAGAAGGACCATTGTTCATAATACTGACTAATGTTTCAGAGTGCAATGCTGTAACCCCGGCTATAAATGAAAGTCTCTGGAAAGCTAGTTCACTCCTTTGGAACAGAATCCCACGCCAAATGTCAACGACTACACTACAAATAAAATCAATAGAACGACCAAATATTACCGACAGCACAAGCTGACCAATCACATCAACCTAACGCCATTTGAGTCTTACAACCAATAAGATCACGGCAAAATTGACCAATCAGTTCACAAGAACCAGACTCATGAAACTCAACGGACAACGATACTTCACCTGGCTCTGATGATGACTTCTGCTAAGGTGGTGAAATCTCTCTAGAGAGAGGAGAAAACCACCCTACCATCAACCTGAAAATAGGGCAAATGCAAGGAATTTTCCCTCAAGAAATATACCTCGTTTAAGAAAACAATAAAGTGCTTTGAAGAAAAATTCTCTACTCAAGAGAGGAGATATCTTATGTTGACTAAACAAAAACAAAAAAACTAGCCTCCTTCATCCACAATGGCTTAATTTCCATAGTTGTACACTTATTGACTTACTTAGCTTATTCTCTGCTGTGAAATCAGCCTTAAATCCTTTGTGATATCGATACGAGGAGTGGGAGGAATCTGATCTGAATCGCACCAGCATGTACCGACTTCTCGAGCGGATTATCCCTGGATTTGACTCACCACACAACTTTCCTTTGGCCTTACTGTCACTTCTGTTCCCTTCAAGTACCTCTACATAATCACCATAGCAATGCCATAAAGGAAAACCTGCAGCCACAGACTCCATATCGAATAGCTCGAAGCTGAGTTTTACAATGTTCCCTTCTGGTACTGTAATGAGCCAGTCACAGCTCATTCCCGGATAATATTGGGAGTGATAAGGATCTCTTGGACTCTCAAACGTTCCATTAAGGCCACTTAAGTTGAGGTTGTTGTTGTTAGTGTTCCCTGGCAAACATCTGTTGTTAGGACTTGCAGCTGTGAAGAGACCATACACATTTCCTGTAAACAACTTAATCTTTATAATGTGTTTTGTCCTTTTAAATTAGATCCACTTGAGATTTTAGGTATTCATTGGGTCTTTTCAACTCAGGCATATGGGACCCATACAATACCTTTGCATAGCAACAAGAGTCTATATCTTCCCTTGAGGAAAAAATTAGCAATATCAGTTTCTTCCTCTCCCCTTCAAACATACATGTCCAATACTTTTGAAATTCAATGCAATTCATGCAATCCATACCACAAAATGACTATAAGAAGCTTGGGGGCAAAAACTGAAAAACTAAAAAACCCAACAGGACATGCAGTACAAAAACTTTATCATAATAATTTTCCTTTGGCAGACACAAGAGTAAATATGACCATACCGTCACGATGGAAATTAAAGTACGGGCAACCCATGACAAATAAACACAAAAATACCTACTGTCTTCTGCATAACCAAAGAAGTCACAAAATAGCACTAACAAACCTACACAAACTCAGGCCACAGCAGACCAGATGCTGGTCATTGAAATAGGTCTAGAGCTTCTCACCTATGCTTTAGAAAGACTAGCAGATATCTGTTTTTATCTAATTCTTTCTACATCTAATAAGAGGTTAGAATGTAAAGAAGAGGGCACCTTTACAGAACCAGTGAGCTATAAACAAAACTTGAATTAAACTCTCTCTTATATTTAATTATATTCATTATTGTTCTTATCATTTATTCTCTGTTTTTAATATGAAGATACTCAGGCACTGACTGATATGTAGGGTAATAAGTATTATCAATGGGGTAGATAACATAAATTGGCCACCATAAAGAGTCACAAAACTGATGTTTCGAGCATGAGCCCTCCATCAGGGCATTAGCCCTTCCCTTTGAGGAACGGGTAACACTCAAAATGTCAGCTTTTAAACTCTTTACAGTGGCCAATTTATGTTATCAGCTCAGATGATACCATGTTATACTCTCCCACCGACCCAGCACCACAGTTTCTTTAGAAACTTACCCCCTTTAATCACTGACTGATATTTCCTTTTGTGCTGAAACCAGAGTTCCACTTATTAATCACACCTCTATTATAAGATGCAACAATCAAATGAATTTAATTAATGTCACTTACTAGTATTTTGTGCAAATGTAGTCTCAATTGCTGCCCATGATAACAAAAACAGACCTGAATAGGTATGAAATAGAAATGAATTTTTAATCAGCAGCAACTAGAGAACAACTCTGCAATTAGATTGACTACCAGACGATAGAACAAACACTGTATGAACATATTAAATGCAATCAACTTTTTGTTTGGTTTGTACCCATTTACCAGACTGAGTGTTTCTTTAAAATCTATTTTAAAGAAGACTCATTTGATTACAGAGTTGGACTGAGAAGCATGGACACAAGGGCATAGCTAACACTCAACTCTCAATACTTTTAGATGAAAAACCAACAAACATCAGAACTCTGATCATACAGCCCTTGTTGCCAAGGAAATTCTATCTTGTTCCCAACAAAGTTGAGTCATGATAATGGATGGTCAATAAAATTTATTTGCAAAATAAGGAAATAACTTGATTATTATTTTGTTTATGCACAAAAGTAAGGTTTAAAATGGAGTTGGTCATATACTGGGGTTATCAACTAGACAGGTTATCAACTAGATAGTGGTATACATGCAAATACTACACATACAGTCAAACTGGAATAAAGCAGCACTGTATTAAGCAGTCACCCTGTATTAAGTGGTCAATAGTTAAAGTCCCAAAATTCTTTCTCCTCAAACACCTTAATTTTCACCTCTAAAACCCTTTACCTCCCATGAGTGACTCAGAGAATTTCTCCTTACAATATCTATACAATATCAAGCATAGAAGTGATAAGAATGAAGTAAAATATGAATTAGGGCATTAGTAGTTGATCCAATATCAGATTTTCCGAATTGACATCATAAGAATTGTATGGCAGACAATAAGGAGAATTACTAATGACATCTTTGGAGTTGAAGGGTTAAACATTACCTCTATTAAGCAGTCATATAACCACCCTTAACTCTAAAACCAGAACCACTCAAATGAAACTAAAAACAAGTTTTCAAGTATATTTTGTCCATGTTTATCCCCAGAAATCAACACCAATAGTATTTGTGGGTGAATTTCGTACATTAAATGTTCACATATGGCATAAAATGGCATTTTTTTACCATACCCTTATTCTGTAGAACCTGTATTAAATGGTCAACCTACATGAAGTGATCACCATGCCATACCCTAGGGATGACTGCTAATACAGGTTTGACTTTAGTAGGAAATCAAATAGTTATAGTAATTGATAGTAGAGCTGTCAAGAATGAGATTTGGGAACAGTCTCAAGCAGCATTGGTAAATGATTTCCAAAACGCTGTGCTAAGAAAGATTGATATGTAACGTATTACAACAGGTGCCATTGAAGAGTCGGCTGTCTTATGATAAAATAACACTGACATTCTGCAAATTAATAACTAGCAACTTAGGAATAATTAATCAATCAGGTGAAAGTAGTATAGGAAAATGAACTGAAAAAGTACTACCAAGAGACAATCCGCCCGAAGTCGATCCGCCCGAGAATGGACTTCGAACTGCCCGACGAATAAACAATGCATTAAATACAAAGATTAAGCTGTTATTCCATTTTTAAAATTTCTTTTAGTAAATGTTTGTAGAATTTATTTGTTGACCGTATTACTAAAACAACTGCTCATTCAACCGCTGAAATATCTAACTTTTTCGGAACGTCAGCGATCAAAAGCGAAATCATTGTTACGTAATAGACACATCGAGGCCAAAGTTTTGAGAAAAAAAGTCAGTTGTGATGTCAGTTGAATAATCATTGTTACGTAATAGACACATCGAGGCCAAATTTTTGAGGAAAAAAGTCAGTTGTGGTGTCAGTTGAATAAAATGTCTGGTTTTGTAAGATATTTCACTGAAAATGCTACTACCACGGAAACGAAATGATTCTACGGGCTTGAAAATGGGATACCAAATTTGTTTAAGTAATGCTTTTTATGGCAGTCATGCAAACAGTGAACGGAACGTAGCCGAGACGAATTTTACCGCCGAGTCAGTATACAACTCAGAAAAAAATATTAAACCATTTATGTTGTATTTCGTTACAAAAACTCATAACACACAAGTTTTATTTAAGATACCATTTTAAAGAACTCTACACAACCCATAGATAAGACGACATATGCATCGGGCACAATGACTTCGAAGTTTGGGCCGGGAAAGGTCTCGGGCGGTTTAACTCTCGGGCGGAACGACCGGATACCGCCTAATCTGTGTACTAAAATGGTGCTGTTCTGTTTTTTCATGTTACATGCGGATGAACGATGGCTTCGATATCAAAATTCAAATTCTCTAGCCTTTCTAATGAAGATCTAAAAATGCAGCTTACGTAAAATAATGAGATAAAGTTTCCGCACAGCCCATCCTACATTATGCATTCAGTTTTTGGATAGAGAAAACAGTGACAAAAACAATACATTGCCATCGGGAAAACAGATTTGTTTTACAATAGTATGAAGCTGTGCGGAAATTTTACCTAGCTGTGGATAAGTAAGTTGTAATCGTGCGAAAAGTCAAATTCTAACACCTCAGTCACGAAATAGTTCTAGCTAAAAATTATCACAATGTAGGATGGAATAACAATATAAGTCTTAAAAGGGAACAAATTAAAAAAGAAATTACCTAATATTTCCACGAGGCGCATCATCTCGACGGGAGAAAACAAGTTCTTTGGGCTTTGAACGAGGTTCCGAGCGAACTGTGCAGATTCTTTGTCACGAATCCTTACAGTCTTCAATCCAGCCCGTGGGGGGATGAGCGAGGTGAGCGAAGATATCCTTCCCCCCACCACAAAAAAATAGCCGCTCACGCATAGCAGC